TTTTTGCAGCTAAGAGGCTTCTGTGTGTTTTGTGTTTATTTTGTAGCTCTTGTTGCTGCGTCACGTGAATCTGGTGCTGCTAAGATGAATCAGCTGCAGTCTGCATTGAAAAACATTGCTTCTGAAATTGAATTATTGGATGAGAAGCGAACCCTTTGTGAAAGGCAGAATGCTGCACTGTGGTAAGTATTTATCTGAGAGAGGAAAAACATACTGACAAGGTGATTAAGGCGAACTGAAATGTTATGAAAACATGGTGAGCAGTGCTTGTCCCTCACTCCTGCAGCTAGCTGCAGTGTTTCTAGGCAACTCTGTGCTGCAGCAGCAAGCCTGCTTCTCCAGATCTGGTTTCTTGAACATCAGAGCTCGCTTGCTGCTGCCTGTCCCCCTGGAAACCCTGATAAGCTTGGCTGGGGAAAGCTGGCTGCTGCCTGGCTTCTCACTTTGTGAAACAACTGCAAAGATCATAACTCTCAGTTTAGAAAAAGAAAAAATGTTAGGAACCCTGAAACTAGATGATCATTATGGCCCTTTTCAACCTAGGCTATTCTATGAATTAGTGACTGTGTTAGAGATCCCTCTTCAAGAGTTACCCAAAGATACGGAGATGATTCTTGTTTTCTCACTGACAGATTTTGTGTTACTGTCACCCCCTGGCAAGCTGATAGAGAGCTGTTCAAAAATAAATTAAATGCATTTTCTTAGGGGAAGTCTAACTGGTGCTTGAAGGCACTCCTTCCATTTTTAATGAGCCTTTTGGAAAATAATCCCACTGGAGTCCCAGGCTGGATGGGGCTGTGAGCAGCCTGCTCTAGAGGGAGGTGTACCTGCCAATAACAGGGGGTTGGAACTGAATGATCTTAAGGGTCCCTTCCAACCCAAACCATTCTGTGATTCTATGAAAAGTAGAACTTTAGGAAGGTAGTAATATAAAGAGCAGAAAGCTGTTCCATTAGAGTGAAGTGTCTTAAATGGTTTTAATCACACGTGCTGGTGAATGTTGTGCCTTACAGTAGAGACTGAGTCTTGAGATTGTCAACATATGAATAAGCAAGTATTTATTTCAATGAACATTCGAAGCAACAGAAGTAACAACATCTGAAGTAATAGAAGACATGAATGGTTTGGTTTTTTTTTTTCAGTGAGGAACAAAAGCGCCTGCAGATACAGCATAAAGAAAAAGTGGACTTACTGAATGAACGGATGGCAACAAAAATTAACACAAATGTGCTCTTACGGGAGACTGATCGTAAAACAAGAGCTACAGAAAGAGAAATAATCAGAGCAAAGGCAGAGTTAGAAGAACTACAAGAAAAAATAGCAGAAAAAATGAGTCAGCTTGAGAAAGAGATGGAAGAGTGTGATGGAAAGGTAAAGCTTTTGAAGTGCCCTGAGAAATTGTGTCTAATGCTGTGTTTGGCTTTCTGTTTGCAGCTAATTTAGATCCCCACAGCAGCCAAGCACAGAACTGGCTCTTGCTGTAGATACAGGTGCTTTGTCTGTGCGTGGGGGGTCCTTGTGTACACATAAACACACACACACCAAAACTGCACAGTTTCTAAAATCCATGTTCTATCAGATCATCTCATGATGTGTCTGTATCAATCCTTCTTGCTGTGTGTGGGACAAATGATTGTATGCTGGGATTGCATCCCTCCAGACACACTGCTTAAAATAAAAGTGCCTATATTTACCACCAAACTGTGAGATGAGGCTTTACTGGTTTTTATATCCTGCCCTACTTTCAGTTGCATACATTTGGTATCCTTTCTGAATGGTAACATAAAAAGAAGCAAATAGATTAAATGAAAGCTTCCTCATAGGGAATATGTCTCCTCAGAACAGAACTGTAGCTGTGTTCCTGGGAAGGTATAATCAGGTTCTTCCACTGAACCAAAATCACATGAGCTCCTGAGAGATCACAGAATCCTAGAATGGCCTGGGTTGCAAAGGAGCACAGTGCTCATCCAGCTCCAACCCCCTGCTGTGTGCAGGTCACCAACCAGCAGCCCAGGCTGCCCAGAGCCACATCCAGCCTGGCCTTGAATGCCTGCAGGGATGGGGCATCCACAGCCTCCTTGGGCAACCTGTGCCAGTGCCTCACCACCCTCTGGGGGAAAAGCTTCCTCCTAATATCCAACCTCAACCTCCCCTGCCTCAGTTTAAAACCATTCCCTTTGTCTTATCACCATCCACCCTCCTGTCCTGATCCTCATTTGCATCATTTATTATTTCTTTTTCATGTAGAATTTATTCCTTTGGTACGTGGCTGTGGTTTTGGCAGAAGTTTATTTTCTGCCAATGTAGATGTGCTCGTTTAATTTTGAGAGGCTCCAGATGCTTTACTATAAATTTTTAAACATGTAGTGTGTTACTCAGAGTGAATTAATTGTGTTCTTTTTAATGCAGAGCAGAGAAATGAAAAAAATCCTTGATGCTCAAAAGGAAAAAACTTTGGCAAAAAAGCACGTGTTTGAAAACCTGAATATAAAACTATTGGACCTGCAACGTCTGATAAGTCTGAATTCCACAGTGAGTTCAATGCAGAGTTGTTGTGGTTCATTGTTAGTGCAAAGATCAATGTTTAATTTCAAAATTGGTCGAAGTGAGGGGGAATTTAGAGTGAAATCCTTTTAAGAAGGATAGTAAGCTTACATGTTAGCTAATTGATTGGCATTGTTGATTAATTACTGAATTATGAATCTTTTTTTGAGAATAGAGGAATCATAGATACCTTTAGATAGATATAATGAATACAGCCTTAATCACTGTTTCCTCAGCATTCTCTCTTTGCAGACTGTTGTTGTTTTGACTCTGAAATCTCAGACTTCTTAGAAAACGTTAGAGGAAAATCCCATTCAGATGTTATAAAGTCTTAAAGATCAGTGGCAGAAAGGGATTTGTTGTCTGCTTTTTTTTTAATAATGTATTTTATTTTATAATATTTTATAAATATTCTTTTAATCTTTTTAATTTTTTTATAGGCAATACATAACGAGGAAATTCTCATCACAAAACTGAAAGAAAAGAGGGAATGTTTGGAAAAGCAGATGGCTCTCAAACAGGCAGACATGGTGGCAGCCTTGGAAAAGAGGTAAGAATTCATGAATCCTTTGGGCTGATGGTTCTGCTAAGACTGCATCCGTGTTTTCACTGGGAAAGGTGACAGCAATGTTTATGAAGAGCCAGCTGAATTCTACAGAGCCTGTGAATTGCTTAACACTGTAAAATACCTACAGTTCTCTTTATAAATTGTAATGCAACAATAAATGGGAGTCTTTCTAGTGGCTTCAATGGGTATACAGAGAAGACTTTGGATTAAGCTGGGTTTAATCTGAATTAGCTATCAGTAGAAGTTCCTTTTGGACTAGAGCTGCAACCAGGTAAACAGCACAGGCTGGTTCTGTCAGCTGTGTCTCTCTGGAATTGTTTGCTACATTCAATAGATCTCAACGTAGAGATCCTCAACGTAGCATCACCAAGGGTAGATCCGTGCTGCTTCCCCTCTGTCTCTGCCATTGGTCATGTGAAGGTTTATACGACTGAAGGGGATGGGGAGAAATGAGATGTTCTGATGGTTCAGATTTCTGTTTGAACCCCTTTTGCTCTATAAGATGGATTAAGAACCCATAAAAAGAAGAAAATAAGAGTTCTGTGAAATATGGGTAAAAGTATCGTTCAGAACTTTAATATTTCTCTTGATGGCAGAACAAATCCATTAATGTCTTTGTGGAATGAGTACTGCCATTAATTAACAGTGTAATTACTGGAAAGAAATGAGCTGCAGCCACCATCTGGTCACAGCTCTTGCTTCTGCAGACAGTTATAAATTGCTTATCTTTACCCTCTGGAGTATGGGATCTGTGCTAGGGAGCTTGTTTATGCTGACATTTAAAGGGCCTAAAAGTAGTTGCAACTCGGTGAATGACTGTGGACCGCTGGCTGTGGTGAATTTTATAGCCTCATTGTAACAGTATTGTCCTTCTGTTCTCATTCTACTGAATTTCTGAAGCTGTTAGACGTTATGAATGTCTTTATTTCCTTCAGAGTGTTTTCCCTTCATGACACATTCCATTATTTGATGAAGCAGATGAAGTTAAGTAGCTGAGTTAAAGAAAGAATCTGGCCGGTAATTTTTTCCTTCACAGTATTTGGCACATTATCTCAAAGCCTGCTCAGTTTGGGTTTTGCCTTTAATACAAAAGGACACCCTTGTGGTATCTGTTCTTCCTTTGCCTCGCATTTCTTTCCTGAGGCACTTCTTTAGGTTGACTCTTGTTTCTTCCATCACTCCCAGTTTGTTTAGAAGATCGTCAAAGGAAGGGAGCAGCTCTTGTGCTGACCGCATCCTGTAAAACATACAATTGCACAACGTCCATCAGAAGAAAAAAGATAAATTCATACTCAAATTCTACCACTTTAAACTCTTGCTGGTAGGGTTTATTTACCGGAAGGCCTGTCTGCTTGCTGTTTGAATATTCTATCAGTTTGTCTATAGAAAATACCGCCCACAAGCCTTCCTTGACTTGTATTTTAAGGTCTATGAGTAGAAAGCCTGGTAGTTCTGTATGTCTATAACTTTTTTGCAGGTTTTATTCTCATCAGATATATTAGGGGACGTAAATGAATATCTGTATGAAATAGATCTCAAACGCATGCAGACATTCACATAGCTTACATTTATATCAAAGGGCCTGAGAGTAAGAATTCATTTCACTGGGAGGGTGGCAAGTGCTGGGACAGGCTGTCCAGAGAGGATGTGGATGCCCATCCCTGGTGGTGTTCAAGGCCAGGTTGGATGGGGCCCTGGGCAGCCTGGTCTACTTGATTTAGTGGTTAGCAACCCTGCCTGCAGCAGGGGAGCTGGAACTTGATGATCATTGAGTTCCCTTCCAACCCAAGCTATTATATGATAGCTTTTAATAATCTTGTGTTAGTGCTCACCTAACATGTCCAAATTGACTTTGTTTAATAGAAATCAGATTGATTCTGAGTTACTGCTTTCACAATCAAAAATTGCACAAGAAAAAGAGGATTTTGATCAGGAACTTGAAAAGGTAAGAGATTTTTATTCTGATCAGAGTTCTTACTAAGCCAGGTTTTGATGAAACAGTCAATCACAGACCTGTCCAAAGTGGGACGTGAAATGTTTTAGGTGCTTTGATTTGCCCACGCCTCTATGTTTGGTGGGTACAACCATGTAGAAGACACACAAACATTTGCTTTCTACTCTGCTTAGGCTCTGAAGGCAGTGGTGAGATCTCCTCTTTAACTAAGATCACAGGAAAGTGTTGATATGATACTGAAGGGGGTACTGAGAGGTGGTGTAAACCTGAGGCTATGGTCTTGTGAGCTGGGATGCAAGAAACTAGAGGGTTTTGAGACTAGGGTGTTGATTTAGGAGAGAGTCCATGTGCAATAAAAGAATGGGACAAACTGATGTATACATGAAGATTGTGGTGAGATTTTTTTACAAGAATGAGGTTGGTATCCTGACTTGGAAATCTGGGTGTGGAATTTTCATAGTGATTCTTGATGATTGGCTCCATGCTTCTTTATATCATTAATTTATATTGCCTGTGTGGGAAAGATAATTAGCTGTGGCACTCCATCTGCTGATTCTGTGAAGGAAGTCCTACTACTTGAGATTATTGTTATGCAGACTACTCACATCCATCTGGGGACGATTTCTAACTTAAGTTAATGAATTGTATCTCCATATTTATGTATATCAAGCAAGGTATCCACTCATTAAAAAGCTGGGGCTCTTAGCCTGGAGAAGAAAAGGCTCTGGAGGGACCTTATAGTGGCCTTCCAGTACCTGAAGGGAGCCTACTGGAAAGCTGGGGAGGGACTTCTTATAAGGGCAGGTAAGACAGGATGAGGGGGAATGCTTTAAACTGGAAGAGGGTAGATTTAGACTAGATACCAGGAAGAAATTCTTTACTGTGAGGATGGTGAGGCACTGGAACAGGTTGCACAGAGAGGTTGTAGATGCTTCCTCCGTGGAGGCATTCAAGGCCAGGCTGGATGGGGCTGTGAGCAACCTGGGCTGGAGGGAGGTGTCCCTGCCCATAGCAGGGGATCGGAACTAAATGATCTTAAAGGTCCTTTCCAACCCAAAGCATTCTGTGATTCAGTGATTCTAAAAACTCGGACATATTGGCATCAGGAAGTACCAAGTTCTCTCCATTAAATGCACACTTCACTCGCAGTTCTCCTGCACTCCCACAATCACAAGCCAGGACCCCATTCCTACTTCCTTTCTCTCTTCCAGCTTCCTACCCCTGTCTCCCTCAGCCATGACACATGACTTCCCTCCTCTTTAATACTGCATGCCTACCTTCCCAGGGCTCCTTCATGGCCAGTCCTTCCCCATTCCCACTTCATCACTCTTGTGGCTCACACAGTAGGAGTCCCTGCCTCTATGTGGAGGAAGGCACCACGTGTCTGGGAGCAGCACAGCCCGGAGGTTGTTTCAGACCAATTGGTTTGAATGGGGGCATGGAAATGAAAATCCAGAGATGCAATCTTGACATGACATTTGTGTATGTCAATTACATGTATGAAATCAAGCTCAATTTATTTAAAAGTTCAGATTTTTTTAAGAAAAGCATTGTAGCAGCATAGAACATTATTACAAGAGAGGATATTCAGCTAACATCTGCAGACCTTATTTGTAGGCTAATAAATATCTACAAAGCACTGAATGCCTGAACAACAAACTTAAATTGGAAAACAAAGCTGTGCACCAGAAGCTTGAGCGAGCACTGGAAGAAGAAAAACACTGGGCCAGAAGAAGAGATGAGATGGAGGCAAAGTAGGTTTTACCTATCAGATTTGGGATCCGGATATTTTAATTTTGTCATTTTATGATTTTTATGGCTAATGCTTTTCTTGCTGCATATTGAGGCCACATTTCTACATCTCTTTCTTCTGTTAGATCGAGGAGGTTATCTGTTCTGTTAGATGAGAAGCGTGAATTTCTAGAAAAACTTGTGATGAAAACAAAAAACCTGGAGAAGGAAACTGAACATCTTGAAGACAGCCTATTGTATGTGATCTTTCAAAATCAGCAGTAGTAAATAATTTCAGTCCTCTTCTTTGCTGGTTTGAGATATTCTGAACTGAACATCAGATAAAGCAAAGCAAACTTAAAAGGGTTTATGATCTTTACCAGTAGGCTGGAATGAAACCTCATACTACGGAGAGGTCAGCTGCCCGTTACCCTAATTGAGTTTGCAGTTTCTTATCATGAGATGAGAAATATTCAAATAAGGATGTTGTAGCAGTGCAAAATGTAAAAATTCAAAAACGTTGGTTTTGACTGGAAGCTCCATACAGTAGTATGAGGCCTTGGACCAAACCATCCTCCTTTTATGATGGTATCTGAGAAAATCTGCTTTTGCTCAGATAAAGCAAAGTAAAAACAGGTTAGTCTTGTGCACAAAAATGCTCTCAAAATACCAAATCTTTGGACTGTGTAGTCAGTGGGGTGTGGATGGGAGCAGTGTTGTCCAGGCACTGCAGCTTTTTCCGAACGTGCAGCTGGTGGAAGAGATTTGGGGATTTTGTTGCCATAGATGAGGAACTGGCCACGTGTACTGACCCCAGATGTCCTGTCCCAGGTTGCCTGTTTACTGGAGAATCAGGACAGGAATGCTAAATGTTGTACTCTAAAAATAAAATCTCAAGTAAGGAGGGTAATCCTGGCAAGGGGAAGAGCTTTTACTCTCTGTTGGAGGATCATCCTTTGCAAGAGAAAGTGAAAAGGATCAGCCAGTTATGTCCTCCAAACCCAGCAGAGCCAGATATTGCATACAGTGTGTTTTCTTTGCTGCCAGTTGTCCTCATTCTGCACAGCTTTTCTTGTGGTGTGGCACCAAAGGGCTGTGTTAATGTGGCTTCCTTGTTCTCTCTCTAAATCCTACTGAGGAATGTTTTGTTATACGGTGTTGTTGAGCTTATGGATATAATTATAGATAAAATACAAGAAAATATTCACTTGCCTCCCTTTTACTGAACATGAAAACACAATACATTCATCCTGCTTTGTAGGGAAAGAAGTACTTTTCTATCTAATACAAACAGTGTATTTGTTATTCTTGGCAAAAGAAATACTGCTGCCATGTAAATATGGAGTGCAAATACACTGGTAAAGAGGAGGTCAACTTGTAGAGCAATGTAAATAAAATCTACATTGCAAAACTGAATTAACAAGATACAGAAGTGAAATAGTCATCAGATAGTATCTTAACACTAGTTTGGAATCTAAACTAATGACAGGAAAGGAAGGGCTGTTACAGCTTTCTCAGACTTGTAAATCAGGTTACATCAGACAACACAAAACCTCTTAGAAAAATTGTTTGAGAGATCACCCCTTCCCAGTCTCTGTCATCCTACTTTTTATTTTGTTTGTACATAGTAACCTTATTCTTTGAATCTTCGCTGGTCTCCTGAGAAGCAGCATCCTTGTCCATCTAGCCCAAATCATTTAATTTCAGTGAATGATGCACAGAGCTCCCAGTCAATTTAACAGGGTCACCAAAGTGGAAACCAAAATTAGGATCTCTTGTTAATTTTTCTTTTCTCTAAGAATGGTGAGTAATATGTTCAGGATGCCACCATTCGCTTCACAAGATTGATTTTTATTTTTTTAATATGACATTTCAAATCTAGTCTGCCAGGTTTCATTCAAAGAGGGCAATCTTTGATGGATAAAACCCACCGAGATGGGAAACCCAACTTTACAATTATGAACATAATTTTGCTGAGTATGGAATAGAAACAAATAGGACTTTCTCATTGTTTTGCAAGAATTACTTAGGGCTACAGTGCAGCACTACTGAAATGTCTCTGAGTGCTGGTTTGATCAATTTTCCATTTGAACCAATAAAACCTTTGGAAGAAAGTCCCCTCCTACCTCTTTGTGAATCCTTCTGGATTTGGAGCAGGCACTTCCCGTTGTCTTTGAATCTTGAAGGAGTGAGAATCACTGGTTTCACACCACCAACTTTTTTCATTGTATTGAGCTCCCCTAAAATATACTGAATGCATGTAAGAATTGTGCACTTTGATTCCAACTCTTTTAGTTTTAAATGGATGTTTTGAAGCTGAGAAACTCTGTAATGCACCGTTTGGCTGAACGCTACAGAATGTGCATTTCTGAGATGTGATCCACAGGTACCACATTGCCTCTGTCCATCTAATAAATGTTTAATGAAAGGAATATTTTGAGAAGCTCTGCTAAAAATTTGAGGGGAAGTGCTTGCAAATGTTCAGCACTGTTTCTGAAAGTTTCTCTTTCTTTTTTTTTTTTTTTTTCCACAGAATAGCCAAGGAAAGTAATGCAAAGGAACTGGCATCTCTAGAGCAAAAATTGAAGGCAGAAAATAAGATGAGGTAAGATGTGAGAGTGCGTGTATTGCATCTTTAAAAACAAAGCAGTAAATTGATGCATTGCTGCTCTTAGTTGCTATTACATCAGAGATATAAAAATAAAGCCTTCCTATGTAAATATCCAGTGATAGAAAGGCAATAGAAGAACATTTCCTCAAATATACCCATGGTTCCACTTGAATAGTTGCTGCCCAGTGGTGAGAATCATTGAACTTACCATGTGAGTTGGTCATCATCATTACGGCAGTAAATATTCTCCATAATTCATAAGGTATTTGATATTTACCAGGATAGAAAGCTGTGAAACTGTTGGTTATTTATTTTCATTAATTTTATATTTAATTAATGTCCATTGGTCACTGAATTGAATATTTACGTCATGCTTTTGTCTCCAAGATGCAATTGTGCTCAATCCAATAAGCTGGTTTTGCTTTTCCCCTCGTTAAAGTGCCATTCTAAATTCTAACTCTTTTAATAAATAAGAATCTTTCACCTGACTTCCAGTATGCTCATGTCAGCAGCTGTTCTTGTATCAGTGCTATGCTCTGTCCTTCTTGTAGTTTACAAGCCCCAGGGATTTACAAACACAAAATCATGTCCCTTCTAGCTTTTCAATTTGCTAAGGAAATTAACCAAATTATTTAGTCCAGACTTAAGAGAAGACTCGTTGCCTTTAGAGTCCTTCTCTGTGTTCAGTTCAGAGACACTTTTAAATAGAAACTCGTAGGGTTTTTTCTGTCTTTCTATGCATCTTTTCTAGATTCTGTCAGGATCCCAGGCTTCTAGCTGAACCCCTTTGATTGTAGTCCTGAAGTTACAGAAGATATCATAGAATCAAAGAGGGTTGGAGGGGACCTTAAAGATCACTGAGTTCCAACCCAGTGCCATGGACTGGTTGCTCCCCTCCACCCAGCTCAGGCTGCCCAGGGCCCATCCAAGGCCTTGGGTACCTCCAGGGATGGGACACCCACAGCTCTGGGCAGCAGTGCCAGGGCCTCACCATCCCTTGAGTAAAAAATTTCTTCCTAACATCCAACCTAATTCTCCCCTCAATAATATGGAGGAATATTCCAAATTCTCAAATTAGACTTGCTCCAGTAATGCTGTGTCCAATCATGCTGTGTCTCCCTTCATTCCCTTCGCTTTTTCTCCCAATTTCAACTTATTTCTGCTTATGATCTGTCACTAGAGTGATGCTTCAGTGGAAGCTACTGTACTTAGCAATGCAAAGCAAACTCTTTCTTTTGGAGGAGGAGAATATAAGCAGAAGAGTGAATGAAAGGATAGAGACTGGTCAGAAAAGGCATGCTGAGCTTCTTCTGGAGGTATGTTAGACAGCAGGTAGTATAACTGAAGACATTCAATGGTACAATATGTTGATGCTATAAATTCAGAGTAAATTGGTAAGGGCTAACTCATTGCAAGTTAATAAGCATGTTATCAGGTGTAAAGATTTCTGGTATCTAAAGGTCTTAATTTCTCCATCCTTTGAGGTATTCAGTAGCCATTTGGACATTGTCCTGGGCAACTGGCTGTGGATGGCCCTGCTTGAGTGGATGGGATTGGATAAGATGACCTCCAGAGGTCCCTTCCCACGTCAACGATTCTATGATATCTTATCATCATTAATAATTTAAAAGCAATTCTTTATCTCAGCAGATGTATTTTCAATGCAGATTACTCTCCTTTTATTCTGATTGCTTATTTCCTAGTGGTTCAGATAGGCAATGTGTATTTCAGAAATCCCTGTCCTTTGTTCTGTTTTCCATTATGAGACCAAAGAGCTTGAAAAAGAACTTCTTCAGTCTGAAAACCAAATCAAAGCGCTGACTGAAGAAGCAATGAAGAGAAAACATGATTACAGGAGTTATAATGAAGATTTTACTAATAAAATAAAATATCTGGAGGTAAGCTTTGTGTTCGTTTGCTTGTTTTGATGTGTTGTTGTTGTTTTTAATTAACCCTGGGTCAATTTCTGGTGGATGAATTGATCTCATTCCATACAGAATTGGCAGTGTTTGCTGCATCACATTGGAGGTAGGCTCAGTAATTATTTCAAGACATTTCTCTCTCTGTTTTTTTTTTTTTTTTTTCTTCTGTTGATAGTGGAATTTTTGTTTCTTTAGTGCTCAAAAAGTCTTATGAAGAGACCCTTGAATTATTGAGACTATGCAAGCAGTACAAACCCAAACATGTATTAATGTACATAAGGGCATCTCTGTCAATCAAGTGCCATGCAGGGAAGGTTTTTCTCAGAAGAGATGCCTTCCATTTTAAAATAAAAATCCAGCACAAACTAAGTTACAGGATGCATCCATTTAACTGTACTGTGAACTACCCAAAAATAACTACTTGTTCACATACAATTTGTTTCACTGTTTTTGGGTAAACAAGCCAGCATTCATGGAAATGTGACAGGTTGGTTTTAGACATTGTTCAAATTCTCTGAATTATGGCTTTTCTATTTGAGTGATGAGTGGTCTGCTGTATATAACTCAAGGCAACTCGGTGTCAGTGCTCATTAAAACACTGATGGGTTTTCTTTCCCAAAGGAAGGAAGACAGAGAAAGACTGCTTGTGAACCATGCAGGGCTTTGGGAAATTTCAAGCACCTCACCAATCTTTGGGATACAGCATATGCTCTGTTCCCAGGCTCTTGATCAACATTCTGGCTGGAATTATCTCCATGACAAATGACAAATCAAAAACTTCTTTGGATGGAGGTGGCACGTACATTCAGTAGCTTTTGATGGAATTTTATGCCATGCTGGGTAGAAGAATAGCAATTCTTCTATTACTGATTAATAATTTCAGTTCACATATACATTTATCCTTTGTAACAACCTACAGCATATAATTCATACAAGCCCATCGTTGGCCAAATACAACAGTGCTCCCAGATGTTTGAGGGAGGCCTGCTCTCAGGTTGAAATTAATCTGTATTTTCTTTAATGGCTCAGGTGGTAGAACAGTGTATTAATCACATCTGCAGAAGGCAGTCATGATAAGAGTGGGAGCACCCTCTACAGTGCAGAACTGGAATTCAGAATGTTTTTTAACAAATTGGAAAAACAATTTAAGGGGGAAAGAAAGAACTCCTTTGGCTTATCTGTGGGTTTAGATACAAATCTGTTACAAGCCCATCATGGGAGAAGGTCTTTAGGTCTAGCAGTGAGAAATAGGACTAAAGCTGGCAAGTTAAACATACTCCAACAAAGAAATGTAGTGATAAAAAAGGCACATATCAAACCAGTCCGTATAAGGAGGCACAAAGGCTGGCAGGGCACATGATGCAGGTTTTCTGCTCCTCCTGGATTGGCAGGACACTGGTGGAGCATTGTGCTCAGTAGTGATCACCTCATTTAAAGGAGGATTTAAGTCTTAGAGATCCAAGAGTACAACAAAAATGATCAGGAAAAAAAAACAAATAAGGTTGAAGAAACGTGCAGCTTTTCTAGTTAAAGTAGGCAAATCTAGGAAAAATGGTAACTGACAAACAAATAAAGGATAGGTAGGTGTCAAACTTTTCTCCTTGTTCACTTGTTGAGGCAAATAACAGGAACAGAGTAGATTTAACTTAAGAAAAAGTTGGGACCTAAGAAAACACTGACAGCACAAACTGTGGAACCCTGAAGTCAGTTGTGAGACGTGGCATCCTCTACTGCTACAGATTTAAGGACAAATCAAACATCTCTCATGGGTACTTAGGTCTAATTGATTCTGCTGTAGAGCAGAGATGGACTAAGATGAACTCTTGAGATCACTTCCAGTATTGCTTCCTCTGTTTTTTTTTTTTCTCCCCTCTGGTTATGTTTAATTATTTATGCATGAAATGCTGCTTCAATAGATTATCAATTAGTATTTCTTTTCATTAAAGGATGACATCAAAACTGCAAGTGAAAATCTTCTTAAAATAGAACACAAGTTTAAGGTGAGCAGGCTAACTTTGGAAGAAACCCAGAAGGAAAGAGAAGAGAAGTATGCAGAATATGAAGAGTTGAGGAAATCATTTTTGAGTAAGTGTGAAGTAGCTCCTTGACATAGTAGGACTTCTTGCTATTTCTGAGAATAGATTGCCATAGCCCTTTGTCTGCCTGTAGTTCAGATGAACTATGAAACAAGTTTAAACTGAGCTCTGCACAACAACTAGAATCCATAAACTGTATGGGTAATCCTGTAGCATAAATATGGAGTATTTCTAAATGCCAGACCAGTTAAACAGCTCGCTTACTGACAGAACCTAGTTTTCTTTACAGTAGCTTTACCTAAAGTTCATTACACTGCCTTAAAAACCCTTTCTCTGCTTTGTAGAAAAGAAAGATGAAGAGTTACAAATCCGAAGAGCCATTCAGAAATCAACCAAGACTACTGGGATGCTCAAGGAGGAAACTGTAAAAGTTTCAAACTTAATCGTAGTACTTCTGTAACGTTTCCATCACCAGCTCTGCTTTCTCACAGGCACTGTGAGGCTGGGGTTGGGGAAGACAGGCTGGGGCTCAGGGTGTGCCATCGTCTCTGTTGCTGTGTTTCTGTCTGGTGGGTGCCTCGGATCTCTGCTCAGCTTATAGCCCAGCTCATACTGAGTTGCTTTTAAGCCTTGTTTTTGTACTGCCTAGGCACACGGGCAGGCCAAAAAGAGGCTGGTGAACTGAGGCCATTGTGAACCTGCTCTTATTCAGATGCTTGCTACTGCTAGGGCAGTGTCCTGTAAGTGGGAAAATCTCTCTGATGACTCTTCCACATCAACACAGAAACCAATGGTTCTGTATGCTGGAATATCCAGTGACAATAATGTGACATCTCTGTCATTGGGCGGCCCTACAGAGGGAAGGCTACTTTTGTGTCTGAGCTGGTTCCTTCCTTGTGGACCATGAGTATCCCTCTCTGTATTTCTGCCTCTTTCCTGGTAAGAAAGTATAGATACCTGTCTCAGATGTTACTTTGCAATTATTAAACAAAAGGTGCCGTGTTATAAAAATCTCTTTTCACTTTATTTGAGTACAAAACTCCTGTATAAAGGTCAGCTAGCAGTGAACAGTTTGTTATTTACAGCTGGAGCTACAGAAGCAATTGTGCATCAAGCGTGATGCTGCAGTCAGCCAGCTGAAGCATCAAACTGAGACTATGAAGTTGCTGGAAAGAGACATCTATGAGATCAACAGAAAACTTGACATTGTGAACACCGAGAACTGCAGATTCAAATTAGTGAGTATACTGAAGATTAATAGTGCTCGTTCTCAATCAGAAGTTCATTTGCTGCAGGAAAAGGCCTTCCTGCCATGTGAAGGGGGCTGAAGTGAGACGTCAAATATGCCTGTGCTGTTTGGAATATGTGCTTTTGGGCATAGTCTGTATACCTTTCAAGACCTGGGCTATCAGAATAGCAGAGCCTCCTTCCCCACAAAGGATTGTAAATGTGGTTTTATTGCCAGCTGCTTTCAGGCTGCCACCCAGACCTTAAACCACATCTGTGCAGTTGTGTGCACTGCTGGTGCCTTCAAGCAGGGTGCTCCACTGCTGCAGGTAGGGAGTGTGTGCCTGCTGACATTGTGGATGCTAGGTACTAGCTGCTGTGCCCATGCCATGCCAATGTCCATGGGCATTTTATCCTCATGGACACACAAAGGCTTCCCTTGGCTGCAGGCAGCTGGAGCTCAGTGATCTTTAATGTCCCTTCCAGCCTAAGCCATTCTATAATCCTATGATCCTATCTTGAGGAAGAGAGGAAGGAAGGTTGTGTTTGGATGTGCTATTGTGGCTGATCTCAGTGCCCTGTCCTGTTCTACTCGGTACGATGGACGTAGTCGTATTGCATTGATTTTGGCAACTGTGAAACTTTATTAAGATGAAATGGAAGCTGTTGTCGAAAGAAAGCTCATCCAGAGGGCTACAATTAACCTTTGCATATCTGTAAATTGAAACGCAGCTTCTTGTAGATGTTAGGAAAAGAAATTCTTTACTGTGAGGTGGTGAGGAACTGAAACAGGTTGCCCAGTGAGGCTGTGGATGCCCCTTCCCTGGAACGAGGGGGGGGCCAGGGTGGATGGGACTGTGAGCAACATGGGCTAAAGGGGGTGTCCTGCCTACAGGAGGACGTTGGAACTGAATGGTCTTCAAGGTCCCTTCCAACCCAAACCATTTTGTGATTCTACGATTCTTTTTGCTGATATCTTTAGAAACATTGAAACTGCTTCAAATTTATTTAGGAAAGTTACAAACTGTGGCAAGTCATTCATTTTTATTTTACAGTGCAATGCACAGATGAAAGAAGATATCTTGGCAATGAATTCTGAAGCTGAAGGCCACCAGTCAGCGATAGTGAAAATTGGGAATGACCTGGCAGTGCTTCGTGGTAATGTTAATTACAGCCTCCAAACAACAAGTGGTATTGCAGTCCTTGCATCTTCTTCACAGAACAACCTACCATAGCTTAACTGTTAGCTCTGTTGCAGGTTTTCTTCTGGAGAGATGGTCAGAGGACAGCTCTATTCAGAAGGTGAAGTTCAATTTCGTATCAAACAATTTTGCATAAATATTTCAGTTAAACATTTCATATTACAAGTATGGTACTGCCTTTTTTATTTCATAGAGGGGCACAATATTAAACCTGTGTTTTCCAGTGATATGTATTTTTTCCTGGTATCGATCCTTTTGCTCATTCTGTGTTCAACCTTAAACCTCTCTGTCTGTCTTCATATGCTAATATTCTTACTGTTATTCATTCAGATCATCAACCTTGGAATATTTTCACAGTTGGGAACGTCCTTCATTTTCAACAGGAATTAAACCAAACTGTAAGGAAGTTTTTATAAAATGTTCCACCAGGACAGGAAAACCTGTTTTTAATGCAAGGATTGGGTCATCAGTGGAAAGCTTCCTGCAGAGCTATTAGTTGGGTGGTTGGTCAAGCTATGGGAAAAGAAGATGCAAAAAGCTTTCTCAGCATAATTTTGAGGGAAAGAAACATTCTACCCTATGTCATTGCAGGAATTTCTGGAGAATGAGCAGGAAATTCTGAATGCAGTGACAGCCCTGCTAAGAAAAATCCAGCATCGAGAGGAAAGAATTGGTGACATTAACAGCAGGCTACAAAATAGTCTGGAAGGAATGGATTCTCTGCTTGAAAAAAAATCTAGAATGGATGGTGATGGTAAGACACACCAAAACTTTTTCACTCTGTTTTTTCAGTCCTAGAGGAGTTCCATTCAATTTGTTCTCAGCACTCTGTGATAAAGCACGCATAGTACAGCTGTGTTAAGTCACCCTCCTGCAGATTTAGGCTTTGTGGTAAAGCTGGTGCATTTTTTGAAGAATTGGGCCTGGATATTAGAATTAATAGTAGCCTGGGTGCTATTATCATCTTTAATTTCCACTTTTTAGAGGCTTGTGATAACAACTGTTATTACACTAGGACATTAGCTTGCTTCAGTTCCTCTTTTTAGCTCCTAAGCCTATAGATTTCTGCTGTCCTTCTTGGTTCACAGGGACCTTGTTTGTAATGAGTCACAGGCTTGGTCAGGGTATGACTACTGCCTTGTTACAGAAAGTGGTTTCTAATTGTGTTGTGGAGCTGATAAAGCTGTGCTATTGAGGCTGCTTTGAAATTGTTGGGTCTGGGTTATGTGCCAGGAAGAGGGAACTAACAGAGGAAGGCAATGTCCCAAGGAGGAAACCAGGCAGAGGAGAGAAGGACAGTGTGTAGCAGAAGAGCTCCCTGCTTCATCTGAAGGCCAGAGTCAGTACTGCTTCCTGGGCACAACATGCAGAGGAGGTTTTTCATAACACATGAAATCCATGCATGGAAATAAGTGCATGTAAACACACACAGTTGTCAGTACTGCACCTCTGCAAAAGCCTTTTCCTGCCTGTTGCTGCCCTGTCTGCTCACTTTCCTACAGGGAGTAACACATGGGGTTTAAGATCATACTTCTAGAACTCTGTATTCATGCATCTGCAACTGGCATTTTCTTTCTAGCAGTATACAGAACAAGCTCCAGAAACTTACAATGCACTTCCTCTCCTTTCTCCTAGAATCAGATGCAATGAAGAATAAATGAGGAAATACTCTTTGGAAGACAGAAGCCAGCATATGGGATGAGAAAATCAATGCTGTTTTATTCAACCCCTCCTCACTGAAATTTTATTCTGAAGGCTGTCTTGTTTTATTCAAAGACCACCTAAAATATTACATTAGTAAATAAACAATACAAGCAAAATACTGTACAAGAAAGTGTCTGAAGCTTTTATGCAGATTCAGGATGATAAATACAGACAATTCCCTTCATGTATAATAGATGCTGTCTTCTTCATAGAAGCAAAGGTTTTTAATACTACAGTCTTGTTCAGAAATGTTTCACCTGTAAGCCCTGTACACAGATAACTTCTTTTAAAACAGAAGCTTTCAATTGCATAACAAGCACTCAACCTGTTTAATGCAGATCCTTGGGACAGCACTGTTGGCACAAAATCCTTCTAATGTCCATTTCCACCTTCTGAGAGTATGCGGGATGGCTCAGTGTACTTTGCTGTCATCAAGTAGAAGATGGCAGGTGCAGGAACCAAGGCAAGCAGTGGGAGATCCTGCTCAAGCCTGTCCAGTTTGGGAATGGAGATGATTCCATAGGCATGAAGCAACCAGTGGCTGAAGAGGACAACAAGCCTTTTCTTCCTGACAAGAAGATCCTTGAAAGACTGGCAAAATACAGATAATATTCTGTTAGCATGATGTACCTGGTATTTAAGACACATCACAGGTCACACACACACACTGCAGAGGCCTTGTGGATTTAAGGCCTTCCAGCACACAGCAGTTTCTCAGTACACCACAAGAGGGAACTCTCATAGTAACCTCTTCCAGCTCAGAGAAGTCAAAGGAAGAAGCTTGTAAAACACTGCTGAGAAAAATCCTTCAAGCATTTTATGATGAGTTTCAATATAAAAAACAAGTTTACCTACCTCCACTTCTGAAGCAGACAAGTACACAGCCAACGTAACCAGAGACAACACCAGTATGATGTATGGAAAGGCATAGTCTAAAGACAAGCAGTAACCAGTTCGTTAGTAGGAAAAAATGCAATGTTATACATTTCAGCAGAGATTCCTCCACATTACCAAGGCTGCTCACCTACTACCCTCACATCCAATGCCTACAGCAATAGAGATCAGCTATGCACAACTATTTGGTGCTTCCTCCTAAGGTTTTCAAATTACTGAGGAGAGAAGGGGAGAGGAGAGGAATGGGGAGAGGAGGGGAGGGGAAGAGATGTCAAATGCAGCAGACAGTAAGATTTCTAGGTGAAGTTACTGTACACATAAATCACTAACTGGGAAAGGAAGGTAAAGAGAAAAGCAGTCAGGCTAAGTGGAGATTGTTACACCATCCCCTCCTTGTGAGAAGGGTGCTTGGAGTTAAACCAACGTGGAGCTGAGCACCAGAAACTTACTTACACTTAAATCCAATTCTGAAATCAGCTGTGCCCTCACTCCGAATGAATTTCTCTCACACCCCACTCTATGCCTGTTTTGTACCTGCTTTGGTAAAGGGACAGCCTCTAGCAGCACAGGCAGAAGGCAAACCAGTTTTGGGCTACCAACAAGGAACTCGTTCACGTGACACTTCTCATAGACAACAAAGACCTTCAGCAATATCCTCATGTGTGAAGCAAAAACTATCGTGTTCCTCCCCTCTCTGCCATGCACCATTTGTCAGTGTGCTTACTGGTAGGTTTCTTAGTGGTAACAGGAGAGAACTCACAGAGCAGGCCTCCTCCAACTGCCTGGAGCACGGTGAGGACTGGGAAGAAGTAAAGTGCCGCGTAAATGCTTTTAAATCGATCAGACTTTCCTAAGCCACAGGCAATCTTCTTAACCAGAAAAGGTCGAAGTAGCATCATTAGCACAAGGCAGAAGGCATAATATATAAACACAATTGTGTACCTGCAAATAAGAGAGGAATTCCTTAAAAGATGCAATCTTGTTTGTCCTGCAGACTCAACTGAGAACAAGGTTTGGTGTCAGCTGTAATGCACAGCTGTCAGGAGAGGGATATAGAGACACAGAACAGTGGAGTGACTTTTCCTACAGAAAATGGTCAAGATCCAGCAAATGGGAATAAAATGGAAGTCTTACATGTTTCATAGAGGAATATCCTAGAATATGCCACCTTCTTAGTGATTCTGTCCTGCTTTGCAGGGAGGTTTGACTCAATGATCTCCAGAGGTCCCTTCCAACTCCTAAAATTCTGTGATTCTGTGATTCTTTGGTGGCAAGAAGGAAGCTGATCACAAACTGCTCTCTGGAATACTCCTCTGTCAAGTTTCCCCACTGCATGCTGAGGATGCAGCAAGAGGAAAACACAGGAACAGAGACTCTATCCTCACCAATTCAGAAAAAGGCATTAGGTGTTACATGTTTGACACAAAGAACAGCTCAGAACATGAAAAGACTTGAGGGGATTTGATACCCACGTGTCCAAAGTATACAGGAACATGTTCTACAGCTTTGAGAAGAGGCACTGACAGAAACAAACGTACAAAAGGAAGTGACAGCTCTGAGTACAGAAGCATTTATACTCACAGGGGATAGACTGCTTCATGAGTGCAGTGCACTGTAGTGATGTAATCAGGACTTGGGTTGTAAAGCATCGTATACCAGTCTGAAAGCTTCTTCACCTTGCAGGAACGGATGTGCAGAGAGCCAGCAGGATCACTCACTAGCAGAGTAACAATTGCTGCAATGCTGCACTCAAACAAGGCAGTGATGTGCTGCAACAGTGCACTGGAACTGCAGAAGAGGAAGACATTTACTACTGCTGTGTGGCCACTAAAGTAAATCTAAATGCTGACTGTGAAGCATAAGTCCAAAGAGGACAAAACCTACAGTTATGATTCACTGTGACCAAGGATAGGACAAAGTATGTATGAATATATATATTCATACAAAGTATGTATGTATGTATGAATAAATAAATAAAAAACATTCAGTATTTTAAGCTGAATGTGAAAACTCATTTTCCATATCTTGGATACCTTTGTATGTAAAGTAACTGGAAATCCTTCCAGCTTCTAAAATGAACTCTTACTTTAATATGGGCAGAATAAAATAGTATCACAAGAAGCATTCTTCTAGGTATGCAACCTGATGCAGGAATGCTGCAAGAGTTGCCTTCCAGGAAGGCACAGGCAGTTGCTTCCAATTGGAAACATAAAAAGCAAATATCCATGGTCAAAATAAATCACTGCTTTCCTCACTGCGTCCAATACTTCACAAAGCTGAACTACTTCCTGCTGGAACAGCACAGCTTCTTTGTGCTCAGCCCTGAGACGCTCACAAGTAAATACAGGCACAGGCACAAAAACCCCATCAGGGGAGGACTAACAGTGCTCACATTGCTGCCATTTCAAAGAAAGCAGGAGTGATAACAGCGCATCTGAGAGCTGAGACAGGCGAGAAGGACCCAGGTCTCTCTCAGAAATAAAAACCCCATCCAACTGCCCTGCGCTACTGCATTGGCTCAACCAGCAGGTGCTCTGCAGGACTGCTCAGTCCATTATGCTCATGGTTACAAGATTTTCTTTTTAAGTAACATAACTGAAGGAAGGGTACACTGACCTCTTTTTGCCCGAATACCACTCAATAAAGAACCAGTGCAGAACGAGGGGCAGCATGGCCATGAAGCCCAAGTACAGCCAGTCATAGCGGTCCGGGGATCCCACACACTCCCGACAGATTTTGTTGTCGTCAGTTCGTTGCCCTCTGGGGCACACCTACAGAAAGCATGTAATGGATTGACAGAGCCACTGTGTTACACTAGGAACCCTTCACAAACCATTCGGGCTGTTCAGCCTGGAGAAGAGAAGGCTCCAGGGAGACCCAATAGCGGCCCTTCAGTATCTAAAGGGAAGGAGGTAAGAAAGAAGGGCACAGATTCTTCAGCAGGGCCTGCTGTGCTAGGACAAGGGGAAATGGTTTTAAATCAGAAGAAGTGAGATTTAGACAGTATATAAGGAGAAAAACACCAAGTATTAACAGGACAGAAAGTTTATCATATTTTTAAAGAGAAAAGACAGCAACCTCAGCAATCTGTCAGCTGGCACTCGCTGTGCTCTCCCCATCCCTCACTTCTGGATGCACGAGAGCACGGCCAGCGCGGAGCCAGCCGCCCCGCAGGACTTACCCCACAGTCCCCGTAGACCTCCACGGAGCCGTTGACGGCCAGGACGATCCTGCCGCAGTACAGCCCCAGGCAGGCGGGCTGGATGTCAACAGCTGCGGGGAGAGGGCAACCCCATTACCGCGGCGCTCCGGCCCGACCCCACCGCCGTGCCCGACCCCGGCCCCGCGGCCTACCTGAGCGGATCATCCCGGTATCCAGGCAACACAGCCCCCCGCCGCAGCGAGCCACTTCCGCTTATATCACTTCCGCTTCCGGACAAGCCTCGCCTCCATTGGGCGGGGCGCTCCACCTGGTGGGCGGGGCTTGGAGTCAACGGGCGCGGCTACACGCAGGGGGCGGGGTGCTCCTCCCGGTGGGCGTGGCCTGAAGGGGGCGCGTTCCGCTCTGTCCCCGCCGTTCCAGGACGCGGGAGATGGCGGCGGCTGGTTGCGGTGACGGCGAGGGCCGGCGGCTGCCGCCCCGCTCGCTCACAGAACCGACGCTGCACACCGTGGAGATGCACACGGGCGGCGAACCGTTGCGGGTCATCCCGCGGTTGGAAGCGATGGAAGAAGCGGCGGCGGCCGGGATGTCGCTGCTGGCGCTGCGGCGGCACATGGCGGCCACGCAGGATCACGTGCGGCGGGCGCTGATGCACGAGCCGCGGGGCCACGGCGGCATGTACGGGGCCGTGGTGGTGCGCGGCGGGGCGGCCGCCGACGGTGCCGACCTGGCGGTGATCTTCCTGCACGGCTCCGGCTACAGCGCCATGTGCGGCCATGCCGTGCTGGCCCTCGGCCGCTTCGCCCTCGACTTCGGGTTGGTGGCAGCCCCGCAGCGCCCAGAGACCGCCGTGCGCCTGCGCTGCCCCTGCGGCCCCGTCACCGCCTTCGTGCCCTGGGATGGGTGTCACAGCGGTAACCCCGTCCGCTTCCACAGCGTGCCTGCCTTTGCCGCTGCCACCGGTGGGGCCCGAGCTGGTGGTACCGCGTTCTGTGGGGGCTGGGGGGATGTGCCGGGGTGCCGTGCAGAGCTCTCCCCAATTCCTGTTTCTCTCAGGACAGGGATATGGCATGAAGCATCGGGTGCCCTGTTGGGTATGGGAGTGCTCGTGGAGCTCACGGCTTCTGTCAGCTCGGTACTGTGACCTCTCCTCACCACCCTCTCTTTCCCCACTCAGACGTGGCCATCGATGTCCCAGGTCGTGGCAGGGTGGTGGTTGACATCAGCTACGGTGGCACTTTCTATGCCTTTCTCAGCGCGGAGCAGCTGGGCCTCGACGTGTGCTCCTCAAAGACCAGAGACCTCGTTAGCGCAGCCAGCGCGGTGACGGAGGCAGTGAAGGAGCAGGTATGGCCCCGTGCCTTCCCTTCAGGGTAGCGGCGACTGAGGCCCTTTATCACCCACAGCGCTCAGATCCACAGGCTGAACGTACTGCTGACGGCCCAAGTGCTGTACCTGTCCTGAACCCTTTGTGTGCTCTCCCAGTTCAAGCTGCATCACCCTGAGAGTGAAGACCTGGCTTTCATCTATGGCACCATTCTGACAGATGGGAAGGATGCCTTCAGCGAGGAGCCCACCACCAACATCTGTGTGTTTGCAGATGAACAGGTACAGAACAGCCTGTTCTGCAATCACACAATGTCCTGAGTTGGAGGAGACCCATAAGGAACATTGAGTCTAAGCAGGAGCCAGACCACCTTTTTCCTTTCATATCTAAAACCTGCTTATATGCTGGGCTTGATCTTACAGGTCTTTTCCAACCGAAATGATTCCATGATTCTACTTTTATCTTTCCATTTGTGATGTATCCTGATGCTGTCCAAACCTCTGGGCTAGGGGCACTTCTCCCATGCAGGGAGAATCTTCATTTATGTTTAAAACCAGAACACGTGCTGGCTCATGTTCTCTTCTGACTGTAGGTGGACCGAAGCCCAACAGGCTCTGGCGTGACAGCTCGCATTGCCCTGCAGTACCATAAGGGACTCATCCAGCTGAACCAGAGCAGGACCTTTCGGAGCAGCACCACAGGGTCCTTGTTCACAGGGAAGGCAGTAAAGGCAAGTGGAGCTTCACTCTGTTGAGTGCTGGGGAGGTGTTCTTGCTTTCCCACAAGCCTCATGCATCGCTTGTTGTGGCTGGGGTGTGGAGAATGTCCTGTCAGCTCTGTGCTGATCCAAACCCCTCTGCAGGAAGCCAGGTTCAGGGACTACAACGCCGTTGTGGTGGAAGTCTCAGGGGAAGCCTTTTATACCGGCACGGCCACCTTCACTGTGGAAGAGGAGGACCCGCTGAAGCACGGGTTCTCCTTCAAGTGACCCGAGGCACTGCACTGTCTCAGTCACTGATGCTCCTCCTGCCCGTGCACTGCTCTGCTTCTCCCTGTGGCCCGGCGCAGTGTGCAGAGCAGCTGGACCGACCTTGGCTGCTGCCGTAACAGCTACTGCTGTCCTTGAGGATGACAGGTGTTCCTCTGCAGTGCTTGCTGGGAGCTTGCTTAGGAGATCTGTCTTCAAATTTCTGTGCCTTATTTACATTTTCAGATTATTCAGATTCCTATTAAATGCCAGCTGAAAACACTGCTGTCCTCTTGTTTTCACCTCCCAGGTGCTGCTGCATGTCTTCATCACGCTGATTCCCAAACCCTCCTCTCTTGCTTCTCTCAGACCATGGGCTAACTTTCGGTTAACTTTCAGCAGCAGTAACCGAACTGGAAAGTTGGAACCGCTCTGACCTTTGAATGCAAACTCGTTTACTTGTGATTCTGCTCAAGCAGCAGTGCGGAGCTCAGGGCCTGTGGTTTCCCCTCTGCCTCTGGGCAAAATGGCATTCAGTTATTGGGGGCACTCGTGAGAATTTGCCTTGTGAAAGTGTTTTGAGAGCGCTTAGCTCTGGGTGCTTCTTGGAGGGAGCAATGTGGGAGGAAGAGAAGTTCCTGGAGAATCAGCCAGGGTCCAGTTTAACGGGATCTTCTGTGACAGTACGGGGGAAATGGCTTCCCACTAAAAAGGAGTGGTTTAGACTGGATAAAAGGAAAAGATTTTTTACAGTAAGGGTCGGTGAGGAGATGGGGACACGAGGTGGTGGGGATGTGAGGGGACGGGGGAAGGAGGCTGTGCTGGTGGAGGAGAGAGGAGATGCAAGGAAAGAGCCGTGAGGATCTGCGAGGGGATGGGGGCTGTGAGAACGGGGCTGTGAGGGAGGGGAGGTCCGCGAGCAGAAAGGCGACAAGCGGAGGCCGCGCCGCGGCTGTTCCCGCCCCGGGTGGCCGCGCGGGCGGCGGGGCGGTTCCCCGGGCGACGGCGGCGGGGCGACGTCAGCGGCGGCAGCGCGGGGCGGGCGCGGCGCGGGCCGGGCCGTAGGGCTGCGCATGGAGGCGGCGGCGGCCGTGCCGGGAAACCTCTCCGGCGGCGGCGGCGGCGGCAACGAGAGCGGTGCGGCGGCGACGGGGCCGGGCTGGTCGGCGGCGGCTCTGGCTTCGCAGGCGCTGGCTCTGCTGCTCATCTTCGCCCTGTCGGCGCTGGGCAACGGCGCGGTGGTGCTGGTGATCGCCCGACACCGGCAGCTCCGCACGGTCACCAACGCCTTCGTGCTGTCGCTGTCGCTGTCGGAGCTGCTGGGCGCGCTGCTCTGCCTGCCCCTCGCCTTCCTCAGCCTGCTGGGCCGCCCGCCCGGCGCGTGGCTCTTCGGCCATCGCCTGTGCCTGGCCAGCGCCGCGCTGCACGCCGGGCTGGGCATCGCCGCCACCCTCACCATGGCCCTGCTCTCCTTCGACCGCTACTGCGCCATCGTCCGCCAGCCCCGCCGCAAGATGGGCCGCCGCCGCGCCGCGCAACTGCTGGCCGCCGTCTGGCTGGCGGCGCTGGGCCTGGCCGGGCCGTGGTACGGGCTGGCGGGCGAAGGGCGGCGGGAAGCCCGGCACGGAGCGTACCGCTGCGTCTACGTGCTGCCGTGGGGCTCGTCGCGGCTGGGCCCGCCTTACGGCGCGGCGCTCATCGTGCTCTGCTACCTACTGCCCTTCGCCCTCATGTGCTTCTGCCACTACAACATCTGCCGGGCGGTGCGGCTGGCCGAGAGCCGCGTGAGGCCCCTGGCCACCTACGGGAACCTGCTGCGTGCCTACGGGGAGATGCGCACGGCCACCACCGTCCTCATCATGATCGTCTCCATCATCTGCTGCTGGGGGCCTTACTGCATTCTGGGGCTGGCAGCCGCTGCCGGCCACCTGCCTTTCTCGCCCACCATGGACGCGGTGGCCAGCGGAATGGCCTGGGCCAACGGGGCCATCAACCCGCTCATCTACGCTGCCCGCAACCCCAACATCTCCGTGCTGCTGCGACGCAGCCGCGAGGGCGGCTACAGGACTAGGAACAACGTGGCTGCCTACCTCTCGGCCACAGGCCGCCGGCCAGAGCCCCGCAATCGGGCTGAGCGCGTGCGGGAGCGCTACGTCAACCGGCATGGTGGGCCTCCGGGGAGCGCCCCGTCCTCATCTGGTCCGGCGAATGGAGGAGAGGTGGCCATGTGGGCCTGCAAGAACCCGGCCGTGCTCTTCTGTCGGGATGGGCAGCCTGACGCCGTCTCTGAGGCTGCATTGCAGGGCAGAGTAGACGCCGTCAACACCAGCCTGTAATGGCGTTGAGGGCTGGGATAGTGGCATCGGGCCCTGGGGCTGTCTCCATGAGGAACCGGCAGTAGCCACGGATCTCTTGGAAATCAGGGAGATGGGCCTGCACGAGCCATAGTGTGATTTCTTCTCCATCATGCAAGCTCTGATTTGGCAGTCTGCTCTGCGAGCAGAGAGAGATGCCATGGAAAGGATGCGCCCCTTTCATCAGGCTTGGTGCAGTGGTGATGGCCACTGAGCATCAAGAGTTTGACCACATGAGCGATTGCTCCAGTCCTGCAGAAAGCGCCCAACTGGAGCTGCAGGGCAAACACACAAACAGCCTGAGACTGTGTGAGCTGTTTGCTAAGTGCCAATGCAGCCACCAAGAGCTGAGCACTGGCAGCTGGAGCACGCTCAGAGAACACCACACTGTGAAAACTGCATCACGGCAGGAAAATGTTGCTTTAACCCATTGTATGTGGCAGTGCAGAATGTCGTAGGGTATGGGACAGGCTAGAGAGTGGTTTGTGAAAATGATTATTTAAATTTCAAGTGAAACAAAGCAGTGATTGTTGTGACAGATGCCTGCGGAGAAGGAAGATGTGTGGCGCTGGGAGGGAGGAAAAAGATGTCAGAATTTCAGCAGCCTTTTATTTATGGGTACAGTCTGTATAAAATACTGTGAGTGTGGGAAACTGAGAGCTCTGCAGGCAGAGGAAAAGGAGTGGGTGTAGTGTATTGTACTACATGGGCACAAGGTGTACTCTGCGCTCGGCAGATGTACCTCACATCTCCAGTGATTTAACTGTGCTTAGAAAAGCCATGCAAGAGTGGTGAGTGTCTGAAAGGAAAGGCACAGCAGTGCCATGTGTGCTTGCTGTGCTTAAGCATGTGAAGATGTGCACATGCAGAGAACAGATAGCGTTGTATCTGTGGCAAGAATCTGTTACTGAATGTGATATTCAAAAACTAGCTCTGTTTGCTTGCCCCTGGAAAAAATGAAGGTAACACCAGGAAATGGAAGTGCTGTTGCAAAGTGCAAATTCATGAGTTTATCTGTATATTTTTGCCCACAGGCTCAGAGTCCTAACGCCTTAATCAGTATTCAAACTCAGAGATTGTCTTAAATTAAATGTGAGAGGCAGGCAGTATTTTTCTTGTGCGGTCTTCAGAAATGTAATGCTACTGTTCTACGGCTTTTTCTCCTGGTTGTGACTCAAGTGAACGTACCGTCATTATTTTGCAGCGAGACAAGAAATAAATTATCTTTTATGCAGGAGATGATAGCGTCTCAGCCTGGCATTATTCTCAGTACAGCCTTCAGAAGGGAACTTCTGTAAAAAAAATTGCCATGGAATGGTCACAGAGACCTGAACATTGTGAAGCTGGGCGTTGCGAAGTCAGTGGTTGGACAAGATGATTGTAGCAGCCTTCCCCAGCCTTTATGATTCTATCAGTCTGTCATTCTATGAAGCGTGACCTGACTGTGAAATTTGAATGCAGCCATTTTTCATGCTGTAAGAATTACTGTAATTCTGTGATGCTCCTGAAGTCCATGAGGGAAAGATGTGACCCTTGGATAGAATCATACAATCGTTTGAGCTGGAAGGGACCTTTAAAGGCTGTCAGGAAATCTGTCTCCACTCCATGGTCATCAACCTTAGGTGTCATTCAGTGTTATGGCTGCACTGATCTCACTGGTAAAAGCCCTGCAAAAGGTGGTCCCAGCCACCTCCCCAGCCTCTTCCAGCACCCGATTTCCACTTGTTTTTAACAAGTACTTGCAAGTGGCTGAGCATTAAGAATGCAGAGCTGAATGGGGGCAGCTGGCTGTGCTCTTTGAGCTTCCCAAACAGCCCTCTTCTGTTAAACACTAACTTGGCGTGCAGCAAGGGAAGATTCTTGTCCAGACCCTTTCTGCAATGAACCTGCTGCAGCTCAGCTAGAGCAGGACCTGTTCTGTGCCAGCCACTCAACTACATGTCTCTAAATGCCCCCTTTTTCAAAGTGTGCTTTACAAAACACAAATAAAGGGCGAAGAGTCTTAAACCACAAGCAGCAGAGAGCAAGAGAAACACAGAAGGCACACGCCAAGCTTGCAGGCTGCCTGCCAGAGCGTGCTGCTGGCTCCCAGCTGTGCTGTGGGTTGCTGCCTCTCAGCAGCGCTGCAGTGGAAGCTCTCAGCAGCGCTCAGATCCCCCTTTGCTGGGCTGAAGCGAGGGGATCTGGCTATGTGCAGTCCCTGCATTGTCGTGCTCTAAGAGAGCCATGCTATTTGGCAATGCTGTACGAGCTGCTGATACAGCTTCTGAGTTACTTCTTAGAAGGGAAGCACTAAGTCTGTAGGAGTGAGGAGTGTTTCTGAAGTATTGTTCCAGATAGAGTCTGGCAGTTTTGCTATATCACATTCATTTAAGTCATTACCTTCATCCCTCCCTAATGCCCAAGTGAAGGCTTGGTTCAAAGTGACTGCTTTATGTGCAATTTACAAACTACAAATTATTCATTTCCAAGTGGCAGCCTGATGGGATCCAGTAGTTGACAGCAAGATGCAACATCTCCACTTCTTTCACACTGGTGTTAGTGTGTGGCTCCAGCAGATGCCAGCAGAGATCTGAGCAGCTAGTACAGCCCTTCTGCTAACAAGCAGCAGAAAAGCTTCTGCTCATGAGATCATGAGATCAAGAGCTCTGCCTGGCACTGGACTCCTCCAGGCATTGGCAGAAACCCACAAAACATTGGGGAGCGACTTCCAAATACTGAGGATACTAAATTTTATGATCTTGCTGCTTTTATAAACCATGGGAAAGCAGGGAGCTGCAGCCAGCTGCACCCAGACATGCTGTGACAAAGTGTGATTCTGGGGAGGTCATTTGGGGAGATGATGCTCAGCTTGCTGAGTGCAGGACAGGAGGGGAATGTCCAGCACTGTGGGCATATTCCTGTTTCTTAGAAGGGCTGGAGCAAGCCTTGGTTAAGGCAGCAGGGTGAGAGTCATAGAACCATAAAGGTTGGAAAAGACCACTAAGCATCCATCCAGTCTAACTGTCAACCCATCACCCATGCCCTCTAACCATGTCCCACCACTGCTCCTGCACACAGGGAGCTGCCTGTGCTATGAGAAGCAGAACCCTCAGCTCAGTCCTACAGGTTTTAAAACCCCTCAGTGTGATGGGCACGCACAAAAGCACTTGGTAGATTTCTCTTAAATCCTTCCCCAGCCATTCCTGAACACCCAGGTGGAATTTGCTTACCTGACTCAGTGGAGGAAAAGCACTGGAGTAACCAGGTGGCATTTCTCTGTGGTCCCCAGCACAGCCATGCACAGAATACATCACCTCTTGTGGCTGTTTGATTCCATGAAGATGGATAGAATTTAAATGATCCCTCTTCCACTACATCAGAAGAAATTAAAGTGCACCATTTTTGACTGCTCCAAGCCTAGAGGTTGCTGTACTTCTCAGCACAAGGCAGAAAGGTGCCCATTTAGCCCCCAAATCCCAAATATCCCATTTTCCTCCCCCAGCAGTGGCTGCTGTGTGTGCTGCTTTGCACAATGACTCGTGGCTCCGTGCTGCACACTCACCGGAATCGCTTTTCTTTATTGCATGTTGCCATCTTAGAAAATGTACAGTCTCATGACATTACACAGCATTTCCTGCTAGCTACGACTAATAACATTCTTGCACCTAACACACTACCTTGGTCACTACGAAGCTAATAAAGTCCAAGACATATACGTCAGTTTACAAATTGTTACGGATTTTTTTTTCCCCTTTTTTGGCATTATTAAAAAAAAAAAGAACAAACCAAACCAAACTGTCTTTAAAATACACACCCAAGAGAAAAGAGTGGCTACTTACACCAGCACCGATCTAAAAGTAGTTTTCGACAATGGCACATGGAATTACCTGCACGCAGCCTTTGCAGTTATTAATATAGACATCTTTTGTTCTTTTTTTTTTTTTGGGGGGGGGGGAAAGAAAAACAAAGACATGGCAAAAATTCAGCCCAACCACAAGGCTGCCATAAAACCAAACAATAAAAACCAGGTCTGGGAAGGCAGGAGGGAATCTGTCAGGAAATGTGGCACTGGGGACCTGCAGGCGGCCGCCCCTTCCCATCCAACCGCCGTGCAGATCTGACACGAGCAACCATTCCTTAAACCATCAGAAGCCATAGGTTTCTATTTTCAACCTTTTTTATCTTTTTCTTTGTTGTTTTTTTTTCAATCCCACCCCCACAGTCCATTCCCTCAATTTTATCAGCCCCGTTGTTTGCTTGTCTTTTTTTTCAGCCATAAATAAAAAATATAAACAGAGGCACTTTAGTTAAGGAACAGTATTATCATTACCTTTTTGTCTTTATTTCCCTCTCCTTCTGAAAGCAAAGTGCTCAACTCCACCTATGAACAGAACCTGCAGGTTGCACAGCTGCTTGGATACGAGGTGCTGGACTCTCATTTGGCGCTCACCTGCTTTATGCTACTCGGAAAGTCTTTTTTTTTTGTCTTCTTTTTTTTGTCTTTTTTTTTTTTAATCTACAGTGCGTCCGAAGTTGCAATGAAGAAAAGAACAAAATGGTAAAACCACAGCTCTTGACGACTCCGTTCAGAGTGATATTTCACAGCTTTCACACAGCACGCAGACCTGGTGGCCTTCAGGTGCTTAGAACCATATCTTTATACAAATCAGTGTCAACAGCACTTTTGCTATACAGTACGTTAACTGACATCCCACAGCCCATCTGCAATACCAATTAATCTGACCAAAAAGAAACAAAACAAAACAAAAAACAACCTTACTTCAAATAGCGTTCGTATGTAGTGCAACAGGGACAAACTCATCTCTCCACAGGAAAAAGAACAAACGAACAAACAAAAGATCACAAAAGTATCGGTGGTATCAAAAGGTTTCGTCTCGTTTCCTTAAAAAACACACCACAAATAAATAAGAGCAAAAAGTAACAGTCCTCTATATACTCAGCATAATTTAAGAATAGAAATGTTAATGCGTTTACTTTTTATTCTCCAATTTTTCAATTTTCTAAACCTTTAAATTATTACTCCCTGAGAGCTCTGAATTCTTTTTATTCTTCTTTTTTTTTTTTCCTTTTTTTCTTTTTTTTCTTTTTTTTTTTCTTTTTTTCCGAACCGACATTTTACAGGTAGTTCTGCTTACAGATTGGCAAGGACGTAGTAGAACAGCAAAGCGTTGCTAACAGACAGCACTTCGTGGCGTCGTTGCTTCTGCGTGCCCATTAAAAGAAAAAACAACAAACCCAAACCAGACCAGAAGGTGGGTGCAGCTTTGGCCCTGGCCCCGCTGCACACCGAGTGACCTTCTGTCCTGACCGACATCTACGGAGGATACAGTTTGTCCCATTGAACAGAAAGCGAGAATAAAAATTACAACACGAAAGTTTATGCCCTTCGTCGCCTCCGAGAACCAACTCTTCCCATCGCCTTGGGCCGGGAAGCGTTATAGAAGTATAAATACATCTGGGTGCCACGTGAGCAAGAAGAACACTCGGGTAAACTCTTCCCTTAGCAAGGCAAGAGGAAAAAAAGAGCATTTCCCAAAAACAACGGGAAGAAGAGCATCGCCAGGAGTGCTTGTGGCACCGAGCTTGGGGACCAGCACGTAAGTGCAAGTCTGGGGAAAAACCAGGACAACGAAATGAACGCATCAAGTTCAGTCCACTTGGTTTTCTCCTCTTTACTCTTTTGCGATCCAGCAAACAGCCCTGCGCAGCTCCTGGGGTCAGGAGAGCGATGCCAAGCAGCTCTCCGTCACCAACGTGGATCATGTCTCTGTGCCCAAGTCGTCTCTTTCTTCAAGGACATGACATTGTGCTTGTGCATCGGGAGAGCCACTTGTCAGGGGATGGAGGGCAGGGGACGAGCACTCACAGGACACACAGCTCCACCCGGCCCGGCCACGCTCATGGCACATACACACACGCTCACCCGTGGGGAGGAAGAATGTGCCACTGTTTCGCTTGGAATCACAAGGCAGTATAATGAAAACAAAATAAATCCTAACCACTTCAAAAAAAGACCACTAACCGGGTTTGGAAACTCTCGGTTTTCGCCGTTGTCCTTCTGTTTCGCTGCTCAGAAGTTAAGCTTGGTGATGGGCCGCTCACGGCCACTGTCAGCCAGCTGGTTGGCGATGCGCTTGCGGTTGCGCTTCAGCTTGGAGAGGTCCTTGTCAAAGACCTCGCCTGAGCGCAGGGCTGAGACAAGGTCATCGAACTCACCGCCTTCCTCACCGCTCTCC